AAAAAAAAAAAAAAGGAATCAAGAGAAATTGCTTGCGAGCTGGGCACAGAAGGAGCTCAAATAATTAATCTATATACACATCTTGCAGATAGATTATAAGAACAAGATACTTCAAATATCAAACAAAAGTTTGAACCACTTTCTTTTTTCTCTAATCTTTTCATTTTTTTTTTCTTAATCTCTGAGACGCAATCTCAACCACGCTATTTCATTTAAGCCCAACCTCTGGACTGAAAATGAAACATTAATTACAGCGGTTTTATTAATCTCAACTTCAAAAAGTTAAAAATGTGAAAAAAAAGGTGACAAAAATAACAAAACAATTCAAGTTCAAGATAATATCCTTGGTACACACAGAACGTATCTCCAGCTTTCAAACTTCAGCCTCATTCAATGCAGCCGACTCAATGAAAAGGCTACTAAGTTAAAGAAAGAGAATATCACCTGCATATCACGTGCAAACTCATATTCATCATCTGTGTCGACCTTCACAATTATTGCATTGTTTTCATATTCAACAGCAAGCTGTAGAACCCAAAAAAAATTGAATAAATGAAAAACAAAATGCTTGAGTTAAGATCTAAAGTCATTAAACTTTGTGGCAACATAATAACAGAATAACAGATAGACTTCCACTGCAAGTGGAGCACATAATAACTCATTCAGCCAATGGGCAACTACATAGAATTAGATTTATAAAATACGAGAAGATGCAGGTCTTCAAAAAGAAAAATTGAACAGCACACCAGAAAACCACAATAACTAATATGTAACTGAAGTTCAATCATCCATGAGGCAAAACCTAACCCTCACATGCTAAGAAGAAATGAAGCTTGGAGAAAATACGAAAACTTAAGTAGAAATGGCATTTAATAGTAAAATCGTTTCTTTCACAGTTTGACAGTCTAGCACAACGCACTACTCTGTTGCATCTATAAAGTCCACATAATAAGTGGCAACTGGCAAATAGTATCTTCATAACTCTACAAATATAGGTAAATGCAGTTTATGGTATTGGCAGTTTTTTTATTTTTTTTATTTTTATTTTTTTGCTACTACCACCAAGATCCGTTATGGTATTGGCTGTTCGTTACTAGTCATTTTGCATAATTTCTTCTGAACTCTTGATGGCAAAATTTTCAGAACTCAAATATATTCAAATTTCATGAGCTGAAGTAGCTACTGAATTAGTTAAAGGACTTGAAAAATAAAAGCATCATCTTCACAAATATGAAGCTGTGAGTTCAATTAAAAGAGGTCCGAGTACCATGATGCAAGTTAATTTTAGTTGCCCGTTTCTATTCGTGTATCTCATTAATGATTTCACCATTCCGAGCAATAAAACAAATGCACACCAACATTAGACCAGCAGAAGAAGATTGTGACTGAGTTTCCAACCGTATAGCAACTCCATGAAGAATGTAAACATACCATCTCAAGTTCTTGAGCCATCAAGATACAAGGACCACACCATGTGGCATAAAAATCGAGGATCACTGGTAAATTTCGATCTCCCTTCACTAACTCTTGGACATCTTTTGCAGACAGCTTTTTCTGCAATAGATAGAACAGTGATTAAAGATAAAGAAGAATCTGATATTACTAACAACATACTAAAACTGACGAACCGCGATAATAGTCACAAGAACTTAGTTATTGTGCTATGTTTTCTAGACCAGAACAGAGTCAAGAATTCTGAGAAGTAGTAACAGACATATCTAGAAGCAAGATAAAATAATCCAGATAAATTTAAAAAATGACTAAAAACTGTAATGTTTCATTTGGTACAAATTTTTTTATGGGGTAGTGTATCTGTCAACCCAACGGGAATGTTCAAATTCTGTTTTCTCCTACCAAGAGAAAAATGTTACGAAAAAAGGAAGGAAAAAGAAAAAAGGTAATAAACCTCAAGGAGTTGTGAAGCATCACTAGGTTTCTCTCCAATTACCTCAAACTTTAAGGGTAGTTTTGCAAGGCCTGACCGTTCTTCCTCCTATAATTATCTCACAGCATAATCCAATAGAGGACCATAACGTAACCAATCATCCCGCACACATATTTCTTTTATGGAACAAATATGCAAACTTTCGTACTCGAAAGTCATACATTAAGAACAAAAGCATGACATTTCGCAGCATAAATATGCACTTTTGTTCGCCTAACCAACCTAAAACTGTAGAATTCGTGTTTTTGTAATCATCCATGCAAATCAAAACACTATTTATTTGCAGCTGTACTCTCCTTTCTACAAGTTTCCAATGATTTTTACGGAAGTAATAAGCAGCTAACGATGCAACTAGCCACAGCACACGAAAATGGATAACTCCTATCAGACACTGACTACATAGATTCCCGGCATCATCGTATCGACCGAACACTAGAAATAAGAGAATAAACCCAAAACCCCGGAACGAAGAACATAAGATATCACGTTAATAATCGGAACTTACCCTAGGTGAGCAACCAAACAATTATTAAAAAAAAAAAAGGAAAAAGGAAACATGAAAGAGCTCAAATACTGTCTCAGATAAGAAAATGGTACAAGGAACAAAAAAGAATACCACGAGATAGTCGTCGCTGAGATACTTCCCAGCTGGTGGCTTGCAAAGAAGCCTTCTTGAGTGGGTTTTGGGTAATATGAAAGAGCTTTTGTTGAAGAATAGTTTGTTTGGTCCTTGGAGGGTTTGCAGGGAAAAATGTGGCGGACAGAGAGGCGGAGATGGAGGTGGCGCATTGAACGAAAGGACGCAAGGTTGCAGCATTTTAGTTTGAGAGAGAGAGACGATGGTGGATAGGGTTTTTACAGAGGTTTTAATTTAGCTCAGCAAGGAATATTCTAGTGTATTAGATCATTTGACCTCGGTATCCTATCCTTCTATATATTAACCAACAATCCATGTATTTAATTTAAATTGAAAGATGATATTGCAATACAGTTATGCATACAAATTTGTCATTAATTCAAAAGTACAAAGTAGTTATACAAAAGATCAGTCAAAACACAAAATAAAACAGTACAAATTGGACCTGAATCAAAGAACATCATCATAGTTCGTTTTACTTAGTCGGGATTATTTCCCTTGTGAAGTGTGTCGTTTAAATAGAAAGGTATCATGCTTCGTTATCAGTAATGTTTCACATGGCAAAAGCTAGAAATCATGGTTGGCAAGTAAGTGATTTCTAATCAGTTCAGGCATGCAGTGATTGGTCATATCATGTCACTTCGATTGTGAATATTTTGACCAGATAAAGTGGCAGACGCATGCACCCACACATGCTCGTGAAGTCCTTTTATTTCAAACAACTCGGCTTTAAAGAAAAGCTTAAGCCTAACTATAGACCTGGCGTGATTTGTCATAGCACGTCGTGTCAAATATAAAACTTTTGACCATGAAGTAAACAACCCCTCAATGGCCAATTTCATCCCTTCTGACCAATCATATAATTATTTTAAATTAAAAAGACGAATGCACAATAAGCCATCATTAATACAATACAACAGTACAAAGTTGGTTTACAAAATATCAGTTATTACACACAAAATAAGTGGACGGCCTTAAGAATATCATCATAGTTTATTCTACCCAACCTTACTTGAAAAAAAAAAAAGAGTAATAAGAAAGAAAACAATGCACCAAAATGCATATTTCATATATTTGAGCTTTTCTCCAAATTTCGAGCTTTACGGACAACATCATCAAGGCTCAGCAGCAGTTCTACATTTTTTTTTCTATTCAATCTCCAATTTGTTGCCCAACACATTATTCTCATTTTCCAACTCTTTTTTCTCCGAAGCTTTTAAGTCTAGTCGCTCTGATAGCAGTTTCACCATTACATTTTTGCATAATACTTGCTCCTGCAACCGGTCCTTTTCAGCCTTAAGCTTGTTAAAACAAGCCTTTTGGAACGGTGGCAACTCGGGATCAATCCATACAAACAAGTTACAAGCCTTATCAGCCTCATTGAACTATGAAAAATCAAAATAATTCAGATGTCAAAGTTCATGTATGTACATGGTAAGAAAAGAAAACACTTAATAAAATCCACACAATATATCTTCATACTGCTGTAACAAATTACTGAAAGTGTGGGTCAGAAGAAGCATGCAGACCAATTATACAATTACACTGCATTACAACAACTACTAATTCATAAACCAAAGGTCAATTAATTTGTACATTCTACAAATTAAATAGAAGAACCAAAATTAAAAAAAAAAAAATATATATATATATATATATATATATATATCATCATGCATGCAGAAAAGAACCTCCAAAACCAATTTAAAATCAATGTTCAATTCAATATAAGAACCTTAAAAACAACACAAACAAATCCATCTACAGACACTAACAACCAATCCCTTCAAGTTCAACTACAGACAATTAATGTGGCCATTAATCATGGTATTTCTCTGTCAAGTTCCTTGTTTATAGGTATTTCGAACTTCAGTAGTATTTGTAGACACATTTTCTTTATGTTATTTCAATGTTTATTTGAATGCATGTAAGTAAAGGGCTCGTTTTATGTAACACAGATATAGATTTCATCTACTGATGAACTGATCAATCAAAATACCACCACACTAAAATTTGGACTGCACATATCAACACAATTGTACCAATACCAGCAGATAATATCCAACAAAGCTAAATAACTGTACAAACACATTTAGAAAAAAATGCCACCCGAAGTATAATGGCAAAAGATTTGCTCGACTTGAATATCCTCATGTTTTTTAAAGCAGAGAGGGAGGGACTTTTTTTTGAAGAATTTTTCTTGTGGGATAAAAATTTAACCTTTCGGCAAGGACATTTGCAGAACCTTCGAGCAGTCGTCATTGATGTGAACACATCGGCTGCGTCACCACAATCACATAGCCTAACCTGAAACGGACTACTATATCGATTGCTTGAACTCGTGTGAGAAGTATTTGACATCTTTCTTGGCTAAAAGAGTGAAAATTAATAACGAACGAGTCATTTCAATCAGGATAAGAAGAATTAATTACAGATATATTTTTCATTCAAGATAACAGATAACAGATAAGAAATTAGTAAAACCAACTGCATTGAGGTGTATACTTTTTCATTCAAAATAACAAACAACATACCTAACAATAACAGATATATTTTTCATTGAAGATAATCATAATAATATCAGTCATGGTAAACTTATGTTGGTACAAAATGCAGCAGAGGTGTATACATAGAACAAATGCAGAAGATGAGTATGGGAACCAAAAACAAGAAATGAGGATGAGAACCAAAACAAAGCAATCACATAAACCACCCCAAAGTCTAGAGAAATGAACAACTTTCCAACTTAGGAAGAAAACCCATTCAGTATAAGATGAAGGGACAGTCACACATAAGGTGGGAGCATGACAGAAAGTTCAGGCCTTACATCAAGATGAAGGGACAACCACTAGACATCTTCTAAGGCCTTACAGTTGCAGCCCACCAGCAGAGTTTACCAGATATGTAGCACATAAGATAAAAGCCAACTAATCTAAATTACTTGCAAGGAAGATAATTAACATAAACACTGTCCCTCATACAAAATAGCAGTGCAAACTCAAACCCTAGCTTCAGTTCATTTTTTTAAACTCAACCAAAATATTCTTCAAACTCAAACCTTGGATCTAGAATTTTGCATCTCCAATTTGTAAGAAACTTAATCAAACCCATACAATATGTTGTTCATAGCATAAAGATTTTTCAATTTCACGAAGAAAAGGCAAAAATCGAAAGTGACAGGTTAATAACTTCTCGATTGCTGGAAAATGGTCGTACCTCTCACTGCACTGCCGTCGGGTTTATTCTCGTAGCACTCGGAGGGACGTCGTCGATTGTCGTATTCAAGGAGTCGCGGCTTGTCGGCGGGAGTTAAGTGGTCCTCTCGTCGTCGCGCAGAATTAGGGATAAATTGTTTGGAGAAGGGAGGAGACGTTTTCAAACAGAAGGGAGGAGTCACGGCTTCTCGTCGGGAGTGAAGATAGGCTCTCGTCGGTCGCGCAGAATTAGGGCAAAATTGGTGTCGAAGAAGAAGGAAGAAATCGAGTTGGGTGGGTATTATTTTGATCGAAGAAAGAAGAAGGGCAATATAGTCTTTGGCTCATATACCATGTCAGTTAATCCTTGGAAGTAAATGGGGGATAGATTTATGAAAATTCCATCCCGAAAAGTAAACAAGGGACTAAATGCTGACATGGAAAGTGATCTTGATTAATTTGTCTTATCCCATCCTGCAAAGTAAATGACCCCTTGGGAAATTATACGTCTCGTGACGGAACCATTTGGTCGTGATTTGTAACTGTTAGATCATCATGTAACCGTCGTGGATAATTAATATAACGGTTACAAACGGCAATGGAATGGTTATGTAACGAGAACCGTAGAATCTCTCTATAATATTTTATGTAATTGTTACTTGTTTTTTTTATTAATCTTTTTAACTTTTGTTCTTTTTTCATCATCAGTTCATAATAAAATTCTAAACTCGTAATTTCATGTAAACAAATATATCTTATTATATCCATTTTTATATTTTGTATTTCTCATCCTATATCAAAATATATTTTTCTTGTACTCATTTTATTATTTTTAAATTGTTGTATTGCTCTGATACCATTATTTATATAATTATTTTAGGTGGTCCTATTTTTGCTAATTTTTTAAACATTTGTTTAAACTTTATATATTATAATCCATTTGTTTTAATTTTTGTTCGTCTTTTTCTATATATTCATATCGAATTGTCTTTTCTATTAAATAATCTACTTCTTTAATTTTCTTTCTTTTTATTTCATTTAATTCAAGATTTATATCTCTCACATTTATTATTAAATATTCTAGAGTTTGTTATTTAAGTTTATTACTTGAGCTTAACTCATTTACTTGATTACTTAATTTTTCTATCTCTATATCTAAAAAATTTTCTATCTCTATGTCCCTTTTAGATAAATTATTACTACTATGAGGTTCTTCAATTTATTGAATTTTTAATAATTTCTTTTCAGTTAGTTTTCTTAAATTTGTAGAATTACTAAATGACCGAATGCTATGTTCTCTTAAAAATTCCTTTTGGATTCTGTCATTTTTAATAATTGTACTTGTTTCATTGAATATTTTTTTGTATATATTCTTTCTTGATTTTGATAATTCACACTTAAACTACTATTACTTAATGCATATGCTCTTATATAACAAACAACCATAGGCATATCTCTTGATTCCATTAATTTTTTTATTGAAAATTACACATTATTCCAATGCAGTTATTAATTTTCTTGGTCGATAATGGTGTAGGAAATTGTAATGATATATTAAACTTAATTATTTCATACCTTAAATCTCCTTCTATTTCTCTTAACTTTATTGATTCACATAATTCTATTATCTTCGACTTTTATATTTACGAGTGTCTTTATTCTTTCTCTAAATGTTGATCGTAATACTATTTATATTGTGTTTATGTGTATATAACTTATCTTTTTCCTATCTTCTTTTTTATTTTTTCTAATCTCTTTTATATTTGATTTATTTCAACTAAGGGTGCTTGAAAATTATAATTTGTCTGTCCTATTTTGATTGGTTGTTCTCCATTCATTATTCTGTAATGTATTATATTTTTTCTATTTGATTTTTCTACTATATGCCATGTAGTGGGGAATATCCCGAGTCTCCATTATTTATTCCTTCTTTTTTTTCTAAATCTAAATTTCCTCTATTTTTTACTTTTGTTACTGCCTTCTTGT